GCAACTTGTCTGTTCCCCTTCCCCCAATTCCCCAGTGCTGTTCCCATCTCCCCAATTCCCCAATAAAAATCTTAAAAAAAAAAAAAAAGACAGACTGTCATATTGGATTTTTTAAAGATCCAATTAGTTAACACCTTACAGGAGACATTAGTTCTAAAGATAGAATTAAGTTGAAAGTAGAGGATAAAGAAAGATATATCATGCAAAGAGCAACCATAAGAAAGTTGAGGTGGCTGTACTAAAAGAGACTTTAAAACCACACAAAAAAAGTCATCAGAGATAAAAATGGACATTTTATATTAATAAAAGGGTGAATCTATCAAGAAGACATAACAGTTATAAACATATATCCAACAATAACCCCAACCAAAGCAGTAACAGATTCTAAGAGTGAAAAGACAATTCAGTAATAATAGTTGGAGACTTTAATGCCCCTTTTTCAATAATGAATAGCATAACTAAACAGAAGATCATCAAGGAAATAGAAGACTTGAACAGCACTGTAAGCCTAGAATTAGATATATTAGGTTGTCGAAAAAGTCATGACGTATTTTTTCTGGTTTTTGTTGCAAAAATGCATCATGACTTTTCAGACAACCCAATATATAGAACCATCCACCCAACAGCTGTAGAATACACGTTCTTCTCAAGCGCACATGGAATGCTCCCCAAGATAGACCATATGGTAGGCCATAAGAAAAGTTTCAGTAAAGTTAAAAGGATTAAAATTGTACAAAATATGTACTTTAATCACATGGAGTGATATTATAAATTAATAGCAAAAAGAAATTTGGGAAACTCACAAAAATACATGGAATTAAGCAATATACTTCTAAGTAATTGATGGTTCAAAGACAGAATCGAAAAGGAAATTAGAAGGTACTTTGAGACAAATGAAAATGGAGACACAGCATACCAAATTTATAGGATACAGCTGAAGCATGTGTAGCAAGAAATTTATAGCTCTAAATGCCTACATTAAAAAGGATGTCAAATCTAATCTTCCACCTTAAGTCATTGGAAAAAGAACAAACAATATTCTCAAAGCAAGCAGATGTAAAGAAAAAAACAGGATTGGAGTAGAAATTAATGAAATAGAGAATAAAGAAAATCAGCAAAACCAAAGTTGATTCTTTGCAAAGATCAACAAAATTGACAAACCTTTAGCTACGTCAATCAAGCAAAAGAAAAAAGGTTCAAATTACTAAAATCAGGAATGAAAGATGGTACATTACAACTAACCATGCAAAGATAAAAGGACTCTAAGGAAATATTATAAACAACTGTATGCCAATGAAGTAGATAACCTGGGTGAAATGGACAAATTATAAGACAGACAAACTATTGCAACTGACTCAAGAAGAAATAGAAAATCCAAATAGATCTATGACAAAGAGATTGAATTAATAATGAAAAAACTACTCCGAAAGACCAGCCCTGGCTCACGTGGCTTCACTGATGAATTCCACCAACTGTTTAAAAAAGAATTAGCACCAATATGTCCAGACTCTTGCATGAAATAGAAGAGGAAACATTTCTCACCTCATTCTATGAAGCCATTATTACCGAGATACCAGTGACATTACAAGGATATTACAAGCCAATATCTCATATGAATATAGATGTAGAAATCCTCAGCAAAATATGAGGAAACCAAATTTAGCAAACCAACTATACAAGAAGGATTATATACCTGATCAAGTGTAGGTACATGAGTAAGTGGGATATGTGCAAGGTTGATTCAATATGAAAATCAATTAATGTAATGTACTACATCGATAGAAAAAAGGGCAAAATCTACATGGTTGTTTCAATAGATGTAGAAAAAGCATTTGACAAAATACAGCACCCCTTCAAGATAAAAATATTCAAACTAGCAATAGAAGGGAACTTCCTCAACCTGTTAATGTGCACATACAAAAAACCCACAGCTAACATCATACTTAATGGCCAGAGACTGAAAGCCTTCTTCCCACTAACATCAGGAACAAGACAAGGAT